ACTCACTGACTCACACTCTGGCAAGAGCCTGAGCCTGTGCGTGTGACCCCTGGGGGCAGGGTGAGGTGGGAGCAGGGACTTGGTCGACCTGGCGCCGTGCTCTCCCCTAAACATGGAGATGAAATCGCCCCCCTTCCGAGGCTGGGGTGAGGCTTGAGGAGATGAGGGTGTTGGGTGGGCTGCAGCAGGGCCCAGCCCGAGAACTCAGGGCTGTGGAATGAGGCCCGGGCACTGGGAGAGGCAGCCTGTGTCCTGGAGGAGGGGTGCACTCTGCCATCGCACGTCCAGGGGGCTGGAGCTCCACTCCCGGCATCTTCCTGGCTGGCTTGCAGGGTGCAGGGGGAGTGTGTGGCCGTGGTCGTGGTCTGCGAGAAGACAGAGAAGAATGGGGAATACTCCATCAACTGTAAGTGGAAGCCAGGCTCCTCCTGGCCTGACAGTCGGGGGTCCCCTTTCTCCAGGGCCTTGGCCATATTCTGGTGAGCACTGACTCTGGGGATTTTAGTTAAGTTTCCCTCCGACAGCTTGACCCTGAACTGGGACCCATCCTGGCACCAACTCCAGGGGGGCTCCTGGCCCAGGGGAAGCAGGGAGGCAGGCGTGTCTCGCTGGGCTCTGGGAGACGGGCCCACTAAGGGACCACCAAGGTCTGCAACCCGATGACAAGGAGGGAGGGGGCTGTGTCGCTGCCACCCACGCCCTGTGCAGGGGTCTCCGCTGGGCAAGCACCCTGGGCACCTCCCTTTCCCCCTCAAAAGGCCACGTGACCCGGCATCCTTGCTTGTGGCCACACAGCACACCTGCCACAGGACCCCGAGGGTGGCGGGGCCAGGCCACGCTGAGCCATGTCTCCACACAGATGAGGGCGAGAACACGGTGGCCGTCTCAGAGACTGACTACAGGCTGTTCATCACCTTCCACCTCCAGAACTTCAGGAACGGGACCGAGACCCACGCGCTGGCACTCTACGGTATCTCTGCTGTCCCCCTCTGACTCCCTCAGGGACCCCACCGCCTCTGAAATCTGGCCCAACCCGGGGCGGAGGGTCTCGCTGTGGCCCTGGGGTTTGAAGAGGTGGTTCCCACTGGCCATTCCTTCCCACAGACACACCGTTAGGGTGCTGGGTGCTTCAGTCTGTCGCCTCCCACCTTACTTGGCACAAAGCCCCTCCCTGGTCAGGGCATGACCCCCTGCCCAGCCTCAGCACCGCCTGAGCACCCCCAGCAAGGCCTACCTTCACACAGAACCAACTCTGTTGCCAGCACGGGTCCCACAGCTGGAACCCGCCTTCCTGAGCAGATTTGAAGAAACCTGCAAAAAGTACGGACTCGGCCCACAAAACATCGTCGACTTGACCAACGAAGGTCGGCCCCGCTGCTCCCAGACCGAGCAGGAGCCGGGACAGGGTGGGGATGGGAGGTGCTCCTGCCCCGTCCCTGTCCCTGCACTGAGAGCCCCCTCTGTCCTTCCAGATCACTGCTACTCCAAGCGTTAGAGGAGCCTGCCCAGGCCTCCCATGCGTGAGCTGCAACTCGGGAGGGGCAGGGGGCTGGATGCAAACAGAAATCAATGTTCTGCTTCCTGTGACACAGAGAAGCTCTGAGCAGACCTCTCCCGCTATACACACAGATAATAGCTAGGAAGTTTGAATCAAATATAAACAACTTTCGGGCTGGGCGCGGTGGCTCACGCCTGTATTCCAGCACTTTGGGAGGCCGAGGTGGGCGGATCACGAGATCAGGAGATCGGAGACCGTCCTGGCTAACATGGTGAAACCCTGTCTCTATTAAAAATACAAAAAAATAGCCAGGCATGGTGGCAGGCGCCTATAGTCCCAGCTACTCGTTGGGCATGGAACCCCCGGGAGGCAGAGTTTGCAGTGAGCCAAGATCGCACCACTGCACTCCAGCCTGGGGCGACAGCAGGAGACTCGGTCTTCCAAAGG